GAATGATATTTTAATTATCTTATTTTAAATACATTGTGATTTGACGGAATAACCAAATAATTTAATTTTAATTTAATAAATCACAATATGACGCAACTACACTATTTTATATAACATTATCGTTTTTTTGTTAATGGAAATTTTGACATTATCTCAACCGAGTTGGAGTTGGTGGTCCAGAAATTGACTTTAAGAGAAAGAATTTTGTTTGTACGTGGTGATTGGAACACAGACCTTATCCAAAAGAGTGCAAAAGTGAATGAATTTAAAATGTACACAATTTAAAAACTTAACACAGTAAAATTTCCAACTAGGATTACAAAAAGTACGTGTACTAAATCATTCCTTGATGTAATTACAGTACATCAGGAAAAAAATTTCAGATCCATCACCAGCGTAATAGATTTACGTTATTCATATCATTATAAACAAGTATCTTCTGTGATTCTTGAAAAGTCCATTAGCGATAAAATAGAATTTAGGAAAAGAGAATTTTAAGAAGGGCTGAAACAATAACAAGCCCGTAGAATATCGCTGAATTTTTTAATTCGTACAACGACAAAGAGTAAACTGTTGTAATGAAACTACGACTTCTATAAGTGAGACGAAAAATCAATCGAAGTGGCAAGTCCAATATCCGAAATGTTAATTTTGTCGTGTTAAGGTACAATTCTCTAAACAAGTACAGATTACACAGTCATAAACTCTGGTGCATATGTACTTATGGGCTTCCTGTATGTACTGAATTTTCAATTCAATTAATTTATTTACGTGTTTGCCAACAGCAAGAAGCCAATAACAGGCAAACACTGATAATATATACAATAATAATGAAAAATAGTACACAAACAGATTAATTAAACTTATACATGTACAGTATTAAATGTAACTGCCAAGTACAGGCAAACCCAAAATAGAAACAATATTAACACAGAGTAAAATAAATGAAGAAATATAAATAAAAACAAATAATCCACCTAGGGAACACTAATATAATTGTAAAACTTTAAAGAATATAAAAACATATAACGAAGCTAGATCATCTATCAAGACAACCTATCTAGATCTTTTCCCTTATTGAGAACGTGCGCTCAAGGGAGACAATGTTTATGCTAAATACGTCCAAAAATTTACATACGTCATTTGAAGCGATGACGCACCTGGCTGAAGGACTATGTCGTAGTGCACTGCTCACACTAAAAGTAGAAAATTCTCTTATTTGCCTCGCCAGCACACGTAAACCAACAGTGTAGTATTTGTAAACAGATTTTTTGTATTTGTTTTCTAAAAGACCTATTTTTCTAAATCCAACATTAAAATCACAACAAAAATGAGATATGATCAATATTGCCTATGAATCATAAATAAACTCTAAAGAAACTTATTCCCACAACTGACACAGCCCCAGAAAATGTTTTAGAGTTTGGTCGCTATTAAAGTTTCTAGTCTTATAAAGAATTTTTCAGATATGTATTAGATAAATTGTATCATGAGATACACATGTCGTCACTAAATTTCAAATTTAGTAAAATTTGCTACAGGATCGCTGAACGATCTGATGGGCCCACATGTGGCAAGGATTATTTGTTTTTCATATTTTAAGGCTCATTTGCTGTCACTTAATTTTTCGAGGTGGTGCTAGCAACTTTAAATTGAAAAAGTGGGCCATCCGAATGATCAATGGTGCTTTAAGCAGACAGTTTTTTAGGCATCTAAATATATTTCCACTAGCTTGTTTATATATAGTGTGTCCCACTTAACGATGATCTCCCTGCAGCAACAGCGAGCGAACTAACGGAAAAGATGTCGAACGTCGTGTGGGATAGTACACTGTGTAGTCTCGTAGAAATTTATTGATGTTTCGGGAATTTTTACTGCCTCTGTCATCAGGGTGACTTGTGTTGGATGCAAAAAAGGACCTGTCAGACGTCGGTAAACTTCTACGAGACTGAGCGGCGCGAATTTACAAAACCAATGCTAGTGGCTGGGTTCCGAGTTTCATAGGATTTAAATATTGTGCAACATAAAGTAACAGTGATTTTGAAATAAGAAACAAACATTCATAATCACAACACAACTCCAGAAGTTGAATCTCCGCATTCAGTTTTGCAGAACGAACTTTTTTGAGAGCAGTACAATAAATGTAAAAATTAAATTGTACAGTGAAATAAATTACTTATGCAAATTAAGAAACTAAAAAGAATTCATAATTTTAAGAGGGAGCTAATATAATTTCTGTTGTGTCATACAAATTTCCCCGTCTTATTAATAAATTATGATGTTCAATTGTGTTTGTGTCCACTTAAAATGTATTTTTACAGTGCGTTAAAACATGCAAAACAAATGTGTTCCAAACTTAAAAGAACTGTGTGAACTTCAAGGTTCTGTACTTTGGTAACGTGTCCTATTTCAAAAGATTGGCCAAGAGGGATTAAAAAGAAAATTAAACTAGGTCCCGACATTCAAGGCCGCCTATATCTATGCGCATGCGCGCGAGAGAAAAAAATACCAGCTAGCACGAAGGATGGCTCAACAGTCTGTAACGGTCATTTTCGTAATTTTAAAGATTTTAACAAAATATTTCAGTATATTATGCCTCATATAATTTTGTTTTTGTTAAAGACACAGAAACAAAAGGACCACTTGTTTGCACTGAGTATGTGCGATATCTACCCTACTACACATGAACCTGATGAAGACCACATATGGTCGAAACATGTAGTTCGGCAACAAAAACGAATTGTTGTACAACAGTGTTGATTGAAGTGTGTAAAGAGTGACTATGCCAATAACATCAAGAGACCACAGTTATTATAGTTAAACCATCCTTTAAAATTCAACGTTTCTTGCAGTTCTACTTTCAGAGGAAATTATTGATAGTCCGCTTTATCGTTCTCAAAAACTGTTCAAATATTCTCAAGTCTTTTGTCTTATAAAGATTTTT